TCAGACATACCAAATCTATGGGCTAAATCCTTCTGAAACAATCCCACTTTCAATCGCATCATAACAATAAGAAATTCCTCTTCGAGTGTCAGTTTTGAATCTGGGCCAGGTTTTGTTTGAAATCTGTCAGAAAAATGACTCATTGGCAGTTTCTCCTCCTCGCCAGTTCCTTTTGGTAGCAGCTGCATCTTTTAGATAATCAAACAAGGCTTTGAAAGTCCCATAATTAGGAAAACCAGTGTAAAAGCTGCACAACTTTTCACTTTTCTGAATGTCCTCTAAAGTAATCAGTCTCTCTCTTAGCTTTAAATTCTCTTTTTCAAGAGATGTCACCTTTTCTTGAAGTTCTCTAATTATTTCAATGAGCTCTGGGCTGTCTTCAGCAATTTTTTGTGCATTGGCATCTGCCTGGACACTCACATAGTCGTGCTCCTTTAAAGTATTACTGCTTGGAAGGCATTCATTCCAGTAGGTGTTTGGTTTTGTGATGACAGAAGAACAGGTACGGCCAGCTGTACTTTGCTCCTTGAATTGAAGGTGAAAAACGTGTGTGTAATAACCACTTTGTAATTAATTTATTAATATTATTTTTATGTTCCTTGTGAAACTATGCACAGCAGCAAGAAAGCACTTTATTTCAAGTTTATTATAAAAAACAGATATAATAATCGATTTCGAGCTACAAAAATAATGAATTAATTTAAACGAATCAAGCCTGTAGAGTGCGTTCAGTGGACTTACCCGGCTGGACTTTCGCTTCACTTTGGGTACATGATCAACTTGGGAGCCTGCATTGCGACTTGTTCGAGTAATTATCGTTTTAACACTCTTATTATGGCTGTGATCAAACACAGACGGCAGGTATGAGGCACTGGCTGGATCCATTGATCTTTTTCCACCAAGGAAGTGTTGCGAACATAGTCGTGTGCTCTCCGTGGGTTGGAAACCTTTCCTGCGTATCCGTTGTAGCCATTTTTGTTTCACGGCCTTATCCTTGGGAATCCGATAGAATTGGATGTTTCGTTGCCTATTTCTTCTGTTTGAACAATTTGGGGTGCAGCAAAAGTCGCTTTTACCCATTTGGGAAAAAAAAAACAGTTGCAACGAAGACACATGCGACGGTCGACAGGTGTAAACAAATTAACCGCGCGTTTGCAACTTGCCCCCCAACACGAAAAGGATTATGAGACATGTGGAAATGGCGAATGGACAGTCACGCGACAACCAAAATTTTTAGATCGATTGGTTACAAAATTTTCGAAGGCATGGGGCTCCACTTGTGTACAGGAGCTCCGCTATAATGAGATTCATTCCCTACTACTCAAGCACTGTTACTGGATTACCTTAATTATTATTTTTTTATTTAAATAATGTCAAAAATTAAATTATAAGGAAGGAAGCAAATTATATGAGGAAGCTATAAGTATTTTACATTCACTATACAACTTGAGTATCCTACTGAAAGGTTATGAGGCATTTGTACATTGGTCAGCCAAGCCAAGATATGTTTGAATTGACACATCAATGACATTACAGCAGAATGGATAAACAATAATTATATCCTATTAATATACTAACATAATTTACAAAAGGAAAACGTTATACTGTACTACAGTTTGATCCCACTAATTCAAACTCAGCCATTTTGAATTCCCCATTATTTTGAACTCAAAACCATATCCCTAATGGATTTGCACTCAAGTCAAATACTATCAGCTATTTCAAGCTATTTTTCGTTTCTCCTGAGGGTTCGAAATGGCAGGGTTCAACTGCATATAAAAACAAAATTGTGTGTGAAACTTTATTGGGTTATTTCTTCCAAAAAAATTATAACTAATAAAAAAATTAGGTTTTTTTGAAAAACCTTATCGGAATAAAAACTAGCGGTAAAAAATGACGTTTCGATCTCTCTGAGATCATTTTCAAGTTGAAGAAAAAACGAATGAAATATACATATATAAGTAC